AAAGTACAATAAGTTCAAAATCTCACTGGTCTTTCAGGCACTCTAGAATTGTTGTTATTCTAACATATACTGCTGTTTCATAGTGTATATGTGCTATCAGTTATGCGACAAATTTAATTTGTATGATAAAATCTGCATTTCTGCTAAAAAATGTACTATTAGCAATTCGCTGCTAATTAACAATCAGCTTGGCGATGTGCAGAAACTTCATTTACAGCATCGCTGAGTAGATATAATGAATAACAGAGATGCATCTAATGGAATGCAATCTAGAATCAGCCAGCATTATTTATTTATCTCTGGGTTTTTTGTCATTAATAAATGTACACATTTTGCAAGTAATAAAAAGCATGATATCTTGCGGTAACACCCCCCAGGAGCTAGGGGGCAGCAGTGCAGAGCTGGGGTTTGGAGTCCAGTTCTGTGTAGGGCATTGCTGCTGCCGCTCCCTTGAGCAAAGTGTTCCAGTTCCTTCAGCAGATGTTCTGCTGTGTGAACGGGTCTCCGGGCTGTCATAGTAAAAGGGAATTTGTGCACAATCGACTTGCTTGGTAAAATGAAGGAATGAAAATCCTTTGACATCATCTGGAAACCTAAACAAAATTCTGGGTCCTTTCGTGTTGAGAACTGATTTGCTTATTAAACCAGAAGCACCTGAAGTGCTATTTTAGTAACAGTTTTAAAGAAAATGGTACTGACCTTTATATAGGCAGACACACAAAACTTTCAGGGAAGGCTGTTCGACTTCAGTCTGGAGGCAACAGACACTACAACACTTAATTACACCATTTCAGAGTGTAACACTGATTGGAATTAACCAGACATTTGGCAGTCTTCAGTATTTAAAACTATTTTCCCTATTACACTGTAATGAGAAACTAAGTACCTATTCTGAATTTTCAGAATTTAAAATTGCTTGCAAAAAACCTCTCTTCTCCCTGTGTGAAATTAGCACAATTATGAAGCAAAACAGTTAATTCTGATTATTGAAAATTTTGAATGTCACTGTACAGCAGAGCATAAATATTAATGAAATTCCAGAGTAGTACTTCTAGTGGGGCTATTGGGGATAAGCAGAAAAAAATGCCATCTTTAATCAATATTTGATATAATGAACTTTTAATAAAGATAGTTCAAGTGGGGAGCTGCGTCAGCATGCGTGGGCTGCAAAGGAACAAGTAAAGGTTTATTCCATGCTGAAGAGAGAAAAAAGAAAACACAACATCTCAGCTGTGGAGCTGACACCAGAAGAAGGCTCCACAGCCAAAATGTTGTGTTTTCTTTCTTCTCTCTTCAGCATGGAATAAACCTTTACTTGTGCCTTTTAATAAAGATGCCATTTAAAAATAGAGATTACGAATTATCTCTGTTAATCACAAAGAATAATTTAAATTCCAAATAATATACCATTTACTGTATCATTAAGACAGAGAAATCATAATTCAAATCTCAAACACAGGCTGTCATTCCTTACAAAACGGAGATTTTATTTAGCAGATCCAGTGAGTTCTCAATAAAATAAACACCTCATTAGTGTAATAGTTTTCTAGGCTTTTAAAACAAGACCATTGCTTTCAGATGCAGGTTTATTTCGTAATAAGTCTAAAAGACATCCAGATATGTCAGTACAATTACCTACTGTAGCTGCAAATGTCTCTGCTGTCACAGGATCTGGACAAATTCATTTTCGTTCTCTTGTTTTCTAAATGTCAGCATCGGTAACTTTTGCAAACCGTCTGACACTTAAAACAGTAATGTCAGATTTTCTATACACTCCGTGTTTTGAAAAGCAATCTTTAACTATGGAATGTCAGCAAGGAAAGCCTGGAGGCCGAAGATTGATTACGCTGTTTACTGAGCATATCTGCTGCATTTCAAAGCAAAAATCTGAATCACATTGTAAGCTACAACCTAAACATTTGATTCAAGACAGATTCATGGACTGGAGAAATCGACTTAAGCTGCTTTTTATATCTCAGATGCCTGTCAAATTATTTTTTCCGTAAGAAAATAAAATCTCATCCCTCCTTTGGATGTAAGATGTGACCCTTGGGAGTTCTTTATAGTAAGAGAGTGAAGAGACCTAGAGAAGGGAAGATGTTCTTCAGATCAGAGGAGGTTTCTGCAGTATTGATGAGCAGCGACCAGTCCAAAGAGCTTATTTGGGGACGATGCACATCAACAAAATCAACATGAAAAGAATGAAGGAATGGCTATGATGGATTTATACTTAGGTTTCCAGAATAAAAAAAAATACTGCAATCCCTTGCTTACCCTATATGAGTATACAACCGCATAGAATTGATTGTTTGAATATGCGACTCAGGAGAACGAGAGTGAGGAGGAGTGAAGACCGAGCGACACAAAAACAAGGACGCAAAAAAAGGAGAATTTATATTTTTATATATTTTTTTTCATTTCTTTGGATTTTATTTTAAAAAGTTCAGGCCAGGAGGTCATGACAAATCAAACCAACCTGAGCAACAATACTATTCAACAAGTTCAAGCAGTCTGTTGTCTTCTGTGATCTTTTAACAATTCGCCTTTGGTTGGGGCCAAGCTGGGAGGTGGTGATAAAACGTACAGCAGAGAATCCGGAAATCCATACGCTACTGGGAATGCAGATGCTAAGGTTCACAGTGCAGACGAGCAGTCTCAACAAATGAAACATACACCAGCCCATGTCGGAGAAGTATTATCTCATCTCAGAATTACCCAGACAAAATTGTTCAACGGTCTTTTGAAGCTTTGCCACGGTGCCTACATAATGAATCCCAGCTGTGGGAGGCAGACCGTGGCCATTACAAATACACCATTCTCTCCGAGTCTCGCAGTTGTAGTCGTTCTTTTTTTCCACAGTCCCTCCCTTTTGCACCGCACAGAGGAACACAGAAAGAGGCCTTCCTCGTACAGGTGGGGTCTAACACTGCTCCACACCACCAGGGCAGTCAGAGTATTACTGTTCTCATAGCACTTCAGTGCACGCAATCACTCCAGCATCACTTCTTCCATGACTTAATCGAGGTCATTTCAATTCTGATGCTGTTTGCTACAATACATCACTTCCTGCCCTTCCCATAATGCTAGACACGATTGTTTTCACACCAAAAAAGTCCTAAGCTCGACTATAAATAATTCAAAAGGAGCAGCTTATCTTATTATCGATTAAGAATACTTAGGCGTATTCATTTTGAAACATTTTTATTGGCCCTAATTGGCTTAAATCGAACTCACACTTAGGACATTTATACCCGCAATAGCCTGTTTTCCATTTTTTTTTTAAATGGAGAAGTCTACACCATTTGAGAAACTGCTGGCTCCTTATAATTAGATGCTTTTTGCTACTTAAAAAAAAATGGGTCCAAGCAGATGTCCAACAGCTGCCCACCTGGTATGCGGAGCAACAGACTCTCGCTGTGTATCATTAGAGAGGCAATCTCACATTTAAATTCAGTAAGAGCATCCTGGTTGTCAGATGTTGTTTACTAAGCCTGGGATCTTAGCACTTAGGTGAGCAATCAATCAGGAGCAAGTTTGTCCTGATGCCCAGCATACAATCCTTACCTTACAACAGACAACAGCTGCATTTACACAGCAGTGTCAGAAACACAAGCCTCCCTGCCCTGTTGCTTCTGAGCAGATTAAACCCAGCAAACAAAAACATCCTTTTATCTTTCTGCTTTAACAGCTGTCTGTTAACGTCTGTCATTTGCTGTTTGGGCTGAGCCACAGGGCACTGCCACAGAAAGGGTTAACTGACAAAGGAGCTGCTCATCTCCCAGAGTGTTTATTTGGTGAATGTGCTGTACATCTTTCTGCAATTATGTACAGTATGGCATTTTCCCTAAATTGTTTGGAGACAAACTAAAATCCCACCTCACAAATATTTGTGTTCCTGGGTGGCCTTCTGACTGTAATCGTTAAACAAGAAGACAATGGTCTAGATACTGTTCAATGGTATTGGAGCAAGGACTTCTCCCACTCTTGGTTTTTATATCACAAAACGTTTAAAGTTTCAAAACGTTTATCATATTTCATAAAAGTGAATTAAGTATGACTGTTTTAGTACGATGTTCAGGTTGGTGATAATTGTGCTTTCAAGACATTAGACATTAGGTTTCCGGGTACAGAGAACGGTAAAATTATGTGCGCGCACATCGGTTGCTTAAGAGTAATGTCATATACAATATAACAATATAACATTTTCTTAAAAATCGTGTAGTACTTAGACATAGCGAGGTACATGACAGACAGACAACTTAATGCTTTGTGCAGGGAGCTTTTCATCCCAAAGCGTTTCACATATAAGACAGGATACAGTACAGATGTAATCTGTATCTAAATGATAGGCTTTTACTGCACTCTGTGAAATAAACACTGATACAAAGTAATCCTGATACAAGCCATATAAACCTCACGTCCCTTCATCCTACATTTGCTTCTAAGCGCTTGAGCAATTCTTGAGCTTCGTTGTCAAATTGACTGGTGTCGTCGCTCTATAGACATAAGCAGAACCCCGTCCTAGACATCTTGAGAAACTCTTAGGTTATTTTAACGAACTGACTTTTGGGACTTTACTATATTTGCTGGATATTAACTTTTAGATTTGCTTGTTAAAAGTAGGTAAAAGCCCGGTTAATCAGCAGGCTACTAACCAGGTATTAGTTTAGTGTAAGCAAGTATTACTTTTACACTCTAACTTAAAGGCAATTGTAACCATCTTTATCGCCTGGTAATTCAGAAATTGTAGTACAATCGAGTCTATTCCGTGCCCGGAATCTAATTTTTAAAGTTCAACTCGGTACTTAAATTTAGGGCTGGTTTTCCCAACACTGAACATCCTATTTGAAAATAAAAATCCATCTTTTTATACAAAGTTATGATTTATTCGCTATAACTTTTAAATATGGTAATAATTGCTGGATAAAACAGGAAATGTCCTTATTCTGATGCAGATTGGTGAAATGTTGCTTGTTTTTAAAAAAAATAACGCAGCTTACCTCGGCATGACAGCAGGCGACCGCCAGGAGAACAAATACTGAGAGACTCCTCAACATCTGCGGGAGACAGAAAGATGCGATATTTCGTAAGAAAGAGCAGCGAGCCCGAGTATTTCAAGGAAACAACTGGAGATGTAACGAGAAAAACATAGGAACTGCTTTTCGTACCTTTTTGTCTTTCCAAGGGCGCAGATTCACAGAGGGCAAAAAGGCAGTCTTGCTCGGAGACGCACTGAAGGTATGTGTGGGGCTTCAGGAAATTTGAGCACTGCTCAGGAATTTCGGCCCCTGCTCCCCCCGTGTGTGACGTGGCCGATCGGAGCGGACAAAGCCGAAAGCTGAAGGTCCAAGCTGGGAGGCAAAAGTGACCCCACGGAGAACAATTTCCAGCCGCGAACTGATATTTAGATACACCAGTACAAGATTGCGATGGTAACATAAAACGGGGTACATTATTACAAAATCGACATCGCGCCCCCCCCCCAAAAAAACAGGTTAAAAGTGATATAGAAGAGGGAGCTTTTACTTTTTTTTTTCTGGGGCAAAGTCATTAATTGCACGCTTGAGACAAGAATTCATTGTATTTAAAGGCCTTAATGAAAAGAAGGAACCGCGCCCGATTTTTAAACAATCGTGGAAAAGGTCCATTACGAAACACCAACAACAGTGTTCATGTTTTAATAACAAATATAACTGACAAAAAAAAAGTCCAGGAAGAATGATGTTCATCACGACAAGCCAACTGAGGAATGATAATAAAAGTCGTAAACATAAGAAAAAATTATTGTTTATTCTGAAAGTTTAAACAGCACTTGTATAATCTTAGTGGAGTTAACTGTGCCTTGTGCATATTTAGTACAACATCTGTCTCTGGGAGCTCCAGGAAGTGGTTAAAGGGAAATGTTTTTGAATGAATCCATGAAATAAAATTCCACACAGTGAGAGGGAGACAGGATGGATAGGCCATGTTGGAGTTATGATATTCTAGCCTGCTCTCTGGCTGTGCCATTCTTGATGGTCTTCATCATCTTCATCTTCTCTAAAGGTACTTCGGCCTCTGTGGAATACAGGTGGAATTATGATGTACTTAGGAATAAGGGCTTAGCACCTTTAGGTTTAATTTAACTCCTGACTCAGCCAATGAAAATATCAATTTACTGTAAATGTCCTTAAACAGATTTATTTTAAATAAGACCCAGTATGCTATTTTCAAACACAGGTTGCTTAGTTACACACCACTCACTATACACAGAAAACCATAATATGTCTAAATTTAAAGCATGATCTTTTTACAATCTTGCATTAAATTCATACATAGCTCTCCACACTTCCATTTGAAAATCAGATTCAGAGAACAAATACCTAGTGATTAAATATTAATAGACAGATTTTGCACAGATAGGCTAAAACAGGGTCTATGCCATCTCACACAGATCCCTGGATGGTAAGAAAACTGATTTATTTCAGATGTTCTCGGAAGTCTGATACTTTGAATTCATCTTCCTAATGATGCAGCTAGGTTTGGCACATTTAAATCACATAAGAGCGTGTCGAATAAAGAAGCATATTCATTGATTATATTAACAACTGAAAAGGGAAATCAAGAGTACCACAGCCTCGTATTAGTAATTATTTAGCAAGGAGAGCATTTTAGCATTTGGATATGCTGTAAAATGTGAAAAATGAAATAGATTTTGAGAACAGACTTTTAAAAAAGACTGTGCTAAAGGCACTTATTCCACAGCCTAATTCACTGGGAGATTTTACGGGGGAAAATAACTACCTGTACCTTGAACAAGTAGAAAAAGGAATGTAATAATTTCAGATTTTTTCTTCCGAGGTTATTTGTGTTAATGTGGTCTGCAGGTGGACTCTGGCAGCTTAGGAATGAATCGGGGAATGAAAGAAGAAAGGCTGATCACACTTTGCCATGAGAAAAGTCTAAGAAATAATTTTCTAAAGCCAGTGGTTATGTTTAAGATTTTATTATTTTTAAAGTGGGTTGTGACCTCTGTCCATTAGGTTTCCCAGTCATTCCTGGTAATGTGAGTTACAAAAGTGAAACCCTACATTCAATATAATGTACTTTATTCAACATGTACAGTAGATGATTCAATTAAATACTGCAAAAGAAATGTGGCTGTTTGAAGATCCTATGGTTATATGATACAATTAAGTGCACATACTGTATATGGCATTAAGATCATTTCTTGCTAATGGAAGTACAAACACCCCATTAAAAGTTCAGCAGCTCTTTCACCTTGCTCTCCAAGACTGTTCACAACCAATGAGCTACATACTTACACACTCTTGCTGCTGCAATATTACCACCCCAAGAATTTTACCTTAAAAGCTGACCATCACTATGAATAACATATGTACAGTAATTGCCATTAAGAGACTTGCAAGCATTTGTATATCATCTCTGTAGCATCAACAGAGAAAAGGGAGCGAGCACACCATAAATAAAGTCTGTATAGGTCACAGCTACCAAAACTTAAAATGTTCACACGTGTTCTTCTTAAATAATACTCAATAACTTCTAAAATAATCATCTTTAATAATAAAGTTATAACATATCTGTAGATTTTTATGTCAAAGTAAATTTGATCAGAGTAGAAATTATTTGCAGGCCTGAAAATGTTTAGCAGGGGAAGGTTTAGAAGTTGACAGGGAAGTTAGCCCCATGCAATTAAATTTCACATTATTTCATCAGCCTAAGAGTCAGTGGATGAGCCCAGCCTCAGCAGCAAACCTTGAGCTGAGCCCTGAAAGAGACATGGGTATTGTGTGTAAGTTATGGAGCTAAAGCACAGATTGCTGTTACTTGCAGAAACAGTCTTTGAAGAATGTAACTTCCAGTTGTTCCTTGTCTACATGCTTCAATGGACTGTCATCTTTCTTTCTCTGCTATAAGGCCATAATCCCAAGCATCAGAGGAAATTCATTTTTTTTGTTCTTTTGTCCTTTGGAAAAACACTGTTCTTGGGAGAACTAGAGGAAGGATTTCTGCAACAAGAATTCCCACTTTACTGTTCCTGACACAATTGTGTAATCTTAAAATTAAAAAGGTTGTCAGGTTTTCGGAGGTGTGTGATGCTAATATTATTTATCCAGTGGCAATGTGTTCCATTAATCCTCTGTTTGCCCTTTAGATTTAATCTTCTTATTAGGACTCTCCAGTTTACTCTAACTGGAGTTCTAAAAGACAAGCAGCACAGAGAAGAGAAAGTTGGGCTGTTTTATTTTATTTCAGAAAAATAAACTGAAATCGTCCTTTCTCGGTGCAGTCTGACATTGAGCCGTAGAGCGAGAAACTGTTTGTAGTAAATGTGAATAAAGCCTGAAATACTCATTTAACCAAAACAATTTGACTGGGCTTTGACACAGTTATTTCTATTAATAAGAAACATTAGGACACAAGTATTTGTATTAGCCCTGTTAACGTTAAAATACTCTTCAAATAGGAAGGGATCCCAGTTGTCCACCGGTGGTGTTGGGAAGTAAAAAATTACTAAACCAGTTGAATTGAGAGGGGATTTTGAGGAGATCAGACTGTACAAGCAAGCCAAGTGTCATGATTGTAATCCCTCCCCCTTAAGGGCGCTCCGGCTCTTTCACATTTCAGTTGAAATTGCGCACCTGCTCCCTGTTCCAGTCTCCCTACTCTGTTTCAGGCTCTGCATTGGAACAAGGACGCCCGGAGGCCCGCCTACCACCGAGTTTCCCTACGTCCGCAGCTCGGGTGGCATTTGCCTCCTATCGGCGTCCTGAATCAGCCAAGTCCAGGACTTGGAGTGCCTGGTCCCGTTCCCCCTTTTTCTCCCTGACCCTTCGCCGTTTCCCGCTCTGGCTTTTAACTTTGTCTTGTCTGTCACGGATGGACCACCCGGTTCTGGACATTTGCATCCCATGGATTTCCTTACGAACACCCTTTGGACTTGTTTGCCTTGGACCGTGCCCCCCCGCACACTGTGCACCTTCGTCACACCCCCCTGTTCGTCTACCAGCCCAGTTCCTCGTCTCCTCCTCGTGTGTGTTCACTCCCTTCCGGATTGTGCTGTCTGCATAGGGTCCTGAAACACGCTTCGTAACACCAAGACTGAAATTTAGCCAGGACACTAGGGTAGCTGATGTAACACGTTTGAAAATTATGTTCCAGAGGTAAGAGCACCACCTACTGGTCCACCAACACCACTTACAGCAGCAAAGTGGTTTTCCAGAGGTTTCTCATCCCAATACTATGCTGGCCCTGCCATGCCTTTTCAATTTAAAACTTGGCAATAGACTAGTTTAATAGACTAAGATTTTATATGCTATCTTGAAAGCTTTAATGATAAGAGAACAGTTTCATAATTACTTCATCAAATTGTTTTGGCCCAGCTATAACATTTCAAAAATAACATCAGCATGAATGTTTAATTTTTAATTTCGTCATGCCTGCAAAAATTAAAAACATAAGAAAGAAAGCAATAATTGTCATTTTCACCGTAGTAGCATACTCAACATGGACTTAAATAGCTGTACAGTGCCCCTGTGGATACATCAGCAAAGGTTTAAATTAGTGATATTAATTCCTGTTCTTGAAAGGCTGCTATAAGTCCATCAAGACACATAGGTAACTTATTAAAAATTAATAAGGACTTGGAAGCAATGGTAATTACGACATTTTTGTCCAATTGAACAATTGATTCCAATAAAGTCATTAAGAGTTCAGGGTGGAATGAAAACCAGAAGACATGAATCTCCTGGACACAGTGTGAATATCATTGATCGATGGTAGGGCAAACCATCACATAGAGAAGACTAGTCATGTACAACACAATTTCCTTTTGAAAAACAAAAGTTCAAGCAGTATTTCACTGGCTTTCACCCCACAGGCAAAACACGCTGTGATTACAACTCAGAGGGCCAGGAGACTTTACATTTGTGTTTGGGGATTTTACCCAACAATGCCCAACTTCCAGTATTTTCTGGATAATACAAATTGTGTTTTTCCAAGTGTCTGATCAATAGTAAACTTTTCATAATGATAGTAATAATATTAACATGTAAGTTTAAACAGTGCCAGTGAGACTATTATTGATCAGATGTTCAGGAAAACAAAATCTAGTTTTCATTTCTGTGTCAAACTTTCTTGTCTCCATTTCACCTAACTTGCATAGTTTCAGGATTTATAATTAGAGTTTTTATGTTTTCTTGACTGTCGTGTCTTAGGCTTTCTCCATGTTCTCAGTGTATTGTGAAAAATGCAGTTTAATTTCATAGTTAGCAGCCTCCCCCTGAAAATTCAATCTCAGGCCATGAATTTTAGCTGCCCACTTTTACAGACCTTCACATTTATATTGGGTATCATGAACGTCTTGTTCAACAAGCAAAAATAAATGCATGGCAATTTATATATCTCTATTTATATATCTCTTGGTAGTGATCAGTTTCACCTGGAAACTCTGCTTGAGGGACTGATGAAGCAAACCATTCAGTAAGAACCTGCTCAGCATATTTGGTAATTAGCATATTTTTCATATTTGTAACTGGGAAATGGAAATGGCAAAAGCAGCCAATTCATTGATGGGGATTATTAAGAGGCCATGATCGATAAAGGCCAATGGGAAATTTGGCCAGGACGCTGGGATAAAACCCCTACTCTTTTTGAGAAACACACTGGGATTTTTAATAACCACAGAGAGTCGGGACCTCAGTTTGACATCTCATCTGAAGGATGGCACCTGTTTACAGTATAGTGTCCCCAGCACAATACTGGGGCATTAGGACCCACACAGACCGCAATGTGAGTGCCCCCTACTGGTCCCACCAACACCTCTTCCAGCAGCAACCTCAGCTTTCCCAGGAGGTCTCCCAGCAAGGCACTGGTCGGGCTGACTCTCTCCCCCACCTGAGAATGCTGCACTGTCTCTCTCTCTCGCCCCCTGCAGTGCTAACCATCACAGATGGCCGGGAGACACAGCTGCTCCATTACAGAGCTCAAGCAGATTTTTTCTGTGATCTTCTACAGCTGGTAGAGGGCAGTATTGCATAGTGGGTAAGTCTCTGGCCTGCTAACTGGTGCCTTGTGGGTTCAAGTTGCCGCTGTAGACACTGGTGTATGCTACCAGTCTGCAGCAATGCTGAGGAGGTCATTCCTGTGATGGACCATTGTCTCTTCCAGCAGGGAGGGAGTCTCCTGCTTTCTGGCTACCTAACACTCTAGCAGCCAGGATGAGCTCAGGGTCACTATGCCACAGCTGGGGTTTGGTATGGCCTTTAACTTCCCTACGTGATCGAATAGCCTCAGAGGCCATCTATAAGTACAGAGTTATGCAGTTAGTTAGATAACTCAACCAGCTCTGTAAATGAGACCTTTTGTAAAACAAAAAACAATACAGCGCGACTTCCAGGAACTAAGCCTGACACAGGAAATGCAGAATGGTAACATACACAAAACCAAGAAAACAGCAGGCACATCTACATTGATAGCAAATTGTGCTATTTTGTTTTAACATCTCTGGGTGAAAATTATGTTTGTTTTAGCTTGTGAAAGTGCAAGAGTCTTTCTCTCTGACGGCCTGTGCAATAACGCTGGTAGCTAATTCTGGTGCGTTTTTCATTGATGTATTGAGAGCGCTGGTTTCATTACTTGTATTTTTTATGCCGCTAAGTGTATTTACAAAAAATTCCAAACCTAACAAACTACATTTCAATTGATTGAATTACAATACTCACAGCACCACAAATCATTTGGGTCGGAGAATAGCACTTATTATCGATTGCGTGACGATTGCAACTCTCCATTCTGCTTCCGGGATTCGAATTCGGTCACGCACGGGGCGGCTAGCATGCACAGCGCCACCCCGCGGATAGACAGCGAATAACACCACGACACCGAAAGACCATCTTCAATCTTCTCTTCAGAAGTCGTCATCTGTTTGCTGCGGAGAATTCAGCGCAGATACAGATGAGGGCACTGTTTGACAGTGTCTGTCTAGATTTCAGAGGGTGATGATGTCATTTCCTCAACTCTCTCGGTACACTGAGCCCTGTTACAACTATCCATCATCAATCCGCAGTAATTGTGTTAATGGGCCCTTTTTGTGAAAGTGCTCAGGGCTTTGTAATATACTGTATTATTTCTTCACTAGTATGCGTTTCTCACTTACAAACGTGCCTGTCTATGACTGTGTGTGTAGGATTCAATTCTGCTTTGTCTTCACCAGCTTATGGAATTTGGCCTCGTCTATCGTTCCACAATGATCACTGCGCTGCAGCTCACGTTCGGTCAACTCGAATGAAAAATTGAGAGATGCACTGTGTTGACAAGAATACACCTATTGATCTTATGAGCTCAATTCTGTTAACCTAAACTCAGGAAATCTGCTAGAAAACAAATTACCTTTCTGCGTTTTCTTCTCTTGACTACAGGGGTACAGAGGAAAGTAAAAGTGTCAGCACTTCAGGCTGGTAAAATAGAAATCAGAGCTATGTACTTTACCATCAGTCGGGCATGGAAAAGTAAAGAAGTGGGAGGCTTAAACTAATCTGACCTTGTTCAAAGAACATCTGTGCACGCATTAGTACAGTATGTTAAATACTGACAATAAAGAAGCAGGTATTCTAAAAAATATATAAAGACAATCTATGGATTATTCATACCGATTCATTGTATATTCCTTTCACAGCTTTCAAATCACTTCTCATCCAGCAGCTATTAACTGTAAAAATGATTTGGTTCCTTTAATCTTTCACAATTAATAATGTTGTCCCATCCTTGGAATAAATCTAATTTGCTTTCATTGACCCATCCCTGAAGTTATCAATTTTCTTGTAGTGATATACTTCTCAGAAGTGGAACACAGTGTGATTTCTGAGCTTAAGGTTGTCTCTGATGGATATATTTGGCCTGTGTCCTTCAGAAAATTCAAGCAGATCGAATGATTGGCTCCTGCACGGCACAAACTCTCCACAGGCTGCGTGAGTCTCCAGAGGCTGAATTCTGTTATTCATCGTCTGCTGCATCTGGAGCCAAGAGCATGAGGGATGTGGCTTTCTGCATTCTGCACATTCTTGACAGCAAAGACGAAAGCAAGAAAGGAGAAACGATTGAATAAATACCTTATTTTTCCATGAAGTGCCATTAATATTTAACAAATGGGCACAGCACTTGCGCTTTGCTTTCAGGCATAGTGGTAGTTAAAGAATATTAAATGCTACTTCAGGTTTTCTCCAGAATGGCCACATTTGCAGGGACACAATAAAGTAATGTCCCGCAATATAATGCTCGCAATTTTGTTCTTCAGATTGAGTGATACTATAAAATGAGTCCTAAAGAAAGTGTTTCCGGCATTCAGAGATTCTAGCCCTAAGGGCTCCTGCTTATGTTGTGTTACATCGTTTGCTTTTTCATGGGTTGCAAACTTACAGAGTTGTCACATGTGTCAAGTTGCCTGCAGAAATGCCCTCATCTGTACTGTATACATAATTGATTCCCTGCAGAAAACAGGGGACACCTACTGTATAAAGAGAGACATATAGATTCTAATGGATCATGGATAATGCTGTATCAACTGATTATGTCATAAACATTTAATATTTCAAATAGATTGTTCCATATACTGTAAAATTTCCGAAGTTGAGGTTTTATACATTTATTTCTTTTACTGTACATAATCTAACTTTTCCAGCAGTGATAGTTGGCTGTTAGTGCTGAAGACACCGAAAGACGCATTCAAGCCTGTGCTGAACTGCTTACTGTATATTGGTGTAAATTATCAGCCCATTGCCTTTTAGGGAACTCTTATGAAGACTTCAGAAGTCCCACAGCATGCCAGATAACAATACAGTTTGTAAAACAGTCATATTAATGTTCCATAAACTCTTCCTGGGATGCTCCTGCCTTTTCCCATTTTGGATACAGCCAGAAGTACTTTACCTGTATTATCTCATACATTTCAAAATAGACAAGGATGTACAGTATATTATATACAATGTAAAATAACTAATGTATTATACTACATGATCTTATACTGAAATAAGAAGGGGCAAGTATTTGATTAATTCAAAAAACACATTTGGTATAAACTACCATGCACCCAAATCCAACAGCAATTCCGTTCACCATGAAAGGGGTATTCCAGTCCATATGCAGTGCAACTGTCCTTATCCAATGTGTTCCACAGACATCCCATCCTCCTTTATCTTTCAGATTAGACCTTGTTTTATGTATTTTAAGTTGAATTAGATGAGGACACAAACTACAATGCTTAATGAAAGGAGCAGCAATTAATAGAAGCAAAATGTTTGTTATTTATTCAGATACACATTTTCAATTGCTAAATACTTTGTTTTACAGCGACCCCTTAAAATCAGGCAAGGATGAAATATTGTATATTTTCCAAATAGGATGCTTTCAGTTTACAGCAAGAGCAGAAATAAATAACTTTTACACGATCTTTTTATGTGGCGTGGGCAAAGAGAGCTCAGGATTGCATCCCAGACTTGAATGCTTTTGCAGGGACAGCACGGGAAGAGCAATATATCTCAGAGGCTGTTTTGAAATTGGGTTATAAAAACCCTGTGGGAGCAACACATGTTGAATCACTGTGCCAGACCCGACCACATTGAAAATGTCACCTTCTTTCCAAAACCCTCTATCTCATCCCGCCTTGTTGCATCCTGTCTCTATAACTGCATGTGAGATTTACTGGCATCTTTCTCCAGTAGTACAGCTGCTGTCATTTTCCACACTGTCCACACTTTTCCGGAAGCCCTGTATAAATTGTTAGCACAAACCCCACTGTCACTTCTCCTGAAAACAGCTGTCTTCTCCCACATCGGGCTGTGACTGGTGATGGACGCATCTGTTTAACTCATTCCACACTTTTTTTTCTCAAAGCCAGCCTGCTGGAACAGGAAGTGGCCCATTGATCAGAGGCTGCTTCCTTAAGCAGATGATAACAGGATCTTTACATTAGTTAATACATGCAATTGCAGAGTACCTTATCTCTTGTCTCTCTCTATGTAAATCATGTTCATTTGACAACTTATATGGATTTCAGCTCATGTGAGGGCGATTGCATGATATTCTGAAAATTCAAGTTACAGAATGAAGAAAAAAAAGGATAACCAAGTGGGGATGGTGGGGATTTGGCGATGATGAGTAGGTTCCAGGTAATAATAATAATAATAATAATAATAATAATAATAATAATTCTTTACACTTATATAGTGCTTTTCTGGAAGCACTATATAAGCACTATATATAACTTATATAGTGCTTTTCTGGACACTCCATTCAAAGCGCTTTACATTTAATGTGGATCCCCTCCACCATCACCAATGAGCAGCATCCACCTGGATGATGCGACGACAGCCATAATGCGCCAGAGCGGTCACCACACATCAGCTATCAGTGGGGAGGAGAGCAGAGTAATGAAGCCAATTCATAGAGGGGGATTATTAGGAGGCCATGATTGATAAGGACCAATTGGGAATTTGGCCAGGAAAAGGGGGTTACACCCCTACTCTTTTCGAGAAACACCCTGAGATTTAATGACCACAGAGAGTCAGGACCTCGGTTTTACATCTCATCCGAAGGACGGCACCTGTTTACATTACAGTCTCCCCGTAACTATACTGGGGCATTAGGACCCACATGGACCACAGGGTGAGCACCCCCTGCTGGTCCCACTAACACCTCTTCCAGCAGCAACCTTAGTGTTTCCCAGGAGGTCTCCCATCCAGGTACTGACCAGACTCACACCTGCTGAGCTTCAGTGGGTTGCCAGTTGTGAGTTGCAGGGTGACATGGCTGCATGTGGCTGCAGGTGAGGTGCTGTACTCACACAGCACCTTGTCCTCCAGGTTGGAATTGGGGCAGCTCCATCCTGTAAAAATAGCATTAGAAGTTGCAACAAATTCTGCAAGAATATTTAGGGCCCCACCAGGAAACTCTAACTAAAACAATTTCAGAACAGAGCCCTACAAGTGAAGTCAGGAGCTCAGGGACTAGCTTCCTGGTGTCCTAAAAAACAGAGTTTGTCTTTGGTGCATGTAATGTCCACACCATGTTTGACACATGACAGGCAGTGTAACGAATATTATTATTAAGGAGTGTAGATGGCTTGGAGGACACAAAATTGGCCAAAAATCTTTTACAAAGATAGAGACAACGCACACACCAGTGGTGTAACACAGCCTAATACATAGAGGCCACAGAAGCACTGGACATGTCTGCTAAAATCAAAGAAATTCCTCTCACCATGGGAAACAGAGTTTGGGAAGTGCTGTAAAGTGATGTTACCATAACAGTCTTAACTCACTATACATTACACAACCATTTTCAAATATGAAAAATTAAACTCTTTAGAAGGGGCTGATTAACAAGATGGGATTCTGCTGTGTTGTCGTACGGTATCTGCTCCTACGTCCCTTGGGTGCCATATCTACTGTTTTAGCATTCTAGACACAAAAGCTGATGTGTGGCACCAGATACTCTAATGATAAATATCATTACAACAATACTGTGTTACAGAGCAAGCTCTTGTTAGAAATAATAAAGGTAACTCTTTCAAGCAAACAGAAATAGCTTGAGGCTTGAAACTTGATAGGAAACGAATTAGAAACCTACAAGCAGAGTTATAAAGAGGCAATTATAATCTCAAGGAATACTTCCTGAGCTTCTCAGTGTGTCTCAATTCAGTATTCAAAGCTCATTTGTATCTCACTCACTATTTGTATCTCATTTGGAAAGCATATACATTTGTGTTTTTGTAAATCGGCAATTAAAATCTTAATTGCCTTTTTCTTGCAGAGGGCTCCTG